ACAAAACAAAAAACATAAACATAAAAGGGGCATATCCTCTCTCCCCAGATACATCTAGATAGATGGCAGACAAACCAACTCCAATGACGGCTCCCGAGCGCGGAAACAACCGGTCGCCACTGCTTAAGGCCTAGCAAGACGGGTATCCACACCCCTGAACTAATCGAAGAGCTGGCCTGCAATCCAATCACGTGAAGAAACCTACACGACTTGGCTTCATCGAGTCAGCCTGACTGAAACAGCAAACCATTCATTCTAGCCCGAAGCGGTCGAACACAATTAAACTGCCGAGCACAAACCAGAAGCGACATCCGATTCCAGCAGTAACTACGACCCCGCAATCGTGAACCTCCAATTCCAGCGCGCAAAGGAAGAACCGGGAGGTCCCTCCGATCACGAACAAAATAAAAACTGAGACAAAAGCAGCAAAAAAACAAGGGCAAACCTCCAATTGACGTAACAAAATGTCGAACAGGAAGCAGCACCGGCCAATCGCCGCTTCGCCATGAAAAGGTACGGTCCTGACCGGCGGCAAAAAAGTCAAGCAAGGAGAATAGTCGACGTCCCAGCCAGATCCAAGAGCAGCTAACCCAGCCTCGTCCATGGACCAGCACCACACACTAACCAATGCCGACAAGACCTGAACTCCGGCGCGCAACCAGAACAGAGAAGCTTCTCCGATGGCCAGCGCGCGAGACAGATCCCAGCTGCAGCAATTGAGACGAGGGTTGTGTCTCCATGGACGAGCGATGGAGGTCGTCCATCGCCGGACCTAAATTTCCGGCGAGGGAGTTTCAATCGGCGAGATTAAAGGGCTAGGGTTTCGGGCGAGATATTGGGAACGAGAGCTATTGGGCACTTGTTTTTTTATAAATATTATTTAATAAAAATTTATAATTGACAAATATTAATGAGTATCTCTTACCCGTGCACTGCACGGGAATCTTCTGCAAAAAAAGATTACTTTTTTGTTTTACAATTTTTGCCCAATTCCATATATAGCAAAGCAAAAGAATTTATATAGCAAGTCGTCCTACTTTACTGGATATGGTTGGGAGAGGCTCATCGGGAATTATGGATTTCGAAAATTTTGGTCACCCGACAACTTCAATTTACTTAGCGAAGGTAACATCTTTTTTTGTTTTTTTGCGAATCTCGGTTTTAGATCTATGGGTTCTGTATTTTTTTTCCAATTTTTATCACACAGTTTATGGGGTATACATTTTTTTTCTGTTATTTCTTAAGTCTAAGTCTTTACTTATTAATGTGTAAAAATTTGGAGATGATTATTTTGGATGTTGATGAATGATTTGGTTAAGTTTTTGATGAATTATACTTTTTTCCTTGTTTGTGGCATGAAATTTGATAGGGGTGAGCGTGGGTCGGTACGGTTAAGGATTGATAAATCTCCAGAACTGTACCAAACTTCGGAGATTCCAAAATTCGATCTCTAGAACCGTACCAAAAAATCAGTTCGGTTCGGTTCAAAGATTTTTATTTTCCGGTTTGGTTCGATTCGGTACACGAGACTGTTGGGATGGTTCGTATTCGATCTCTCACGATTGGGCATCATATTTTTTTTTTTATACTCGAACTCACGAAAGAAGAAGAAATTAAAAAAAAGAAGAAGAAAAATTCAGAAGAAGACGAAAGGAAAAATTCAAAAATAAAATAATAAAAAAAAAGATAGACAGGAATCACGATTGGACACTCTCAACGAGAGCACCGATGATGAGGAATCGTGTTTCTTGTGTCGGTTTGTGGATAATCGCGCACTAAGGGCCTTCGATTAAACGCGATAAATTGATACAAAATGCGCTCTAAGGGCCTTCTTTTAGACACGGTTGTATGATAAACACGCACTGACGGCCTTGCTCAAACACACGAATGAACAAACATTCTTTTCTATTAAGTCTTCGACATATTAAAAAGAATGGGGAAGACAAGTATCTATAGATCCTAACTTAGTTTACTCATACTTTAACTAGATCATAAATTAAAGCCATAAAATATTGAATCCTAACATTCTAGAAATAATAAAGCAACTAGGAAACTAAATATTTCCTAACAATACTAGAGTCCTAATTAAGCTAAGTAATCTTGCTCCCAAATCCTTTGCTTGCTCTCCAAGTCGGCACCTCCTAGCCCTAGCCGCCCACGCCCGCGCTGCCTAACCCTTGTCAAGCGCGACATCGCGCGTGCCCGCCCATGCGTCGCCAGTCGCGCACGCTGCGCGCCCACCGCCTGTTACACGCGCATCCATGCCACCTGCGCGGGTGTCGCGCACGCCCTGCGCCCCAGCACTGCCCTC